TTGTCCTACCCTTCACAAATATTCAGCGGCGGTACGGCAGCAGCGGGAGGCTCCATTAGCTAAAGTGGTACTTCAGGTTAAGAACAGTTTCAGGTTAAGAACGGACCTCCGGAACAAATTAAGTACATAACCTGAGGTACCACTGTACTAGCACTAGATACAATCCTAAAAGTTTTGCGAGAATAAAAATAGTTTTGTCTGTTGTATGAATGATAACTAACTTGATGTCCAATGAACCTGCCTGGGGAGAGCATTTTGTAGCTGGTGCACCACCAATAACACCCCCCCATTGCCCCCTGCCTCACCTCAGTTGACAAATGCACCCATTCATCCGTTGCAAATATCGGGAGCAAGTTTCTGCAGCTTTCCCTCAAAATGTTTGGAATTTAATGGTGTCCTTATCTTAGTTCAAATGTATGAGATAGGTGAGGCTCCTGCCCGTGTTCTGCACTTAACCTCCCCCCAAAAAACTTTACAGTTTTCGCTAGCTACCTGACTTCACTACCCTCTTCTGCATTTTGCATTTCAAAAAGAGCCTTGTGCCTGTGTTGTACCAAAGGTGACCTGTTCTAGAAACTGTACTTAACACCATCTTGGCACTCAAGATAACCCTATAATTAATTGGTAGTTGCTATAGCTATGAGCTCATATATGTTTATACATGCCTACTTTGATATACCCTAATTGGTTTGGTTTTGATGGTACCCTTATCTGTGGGAACTGGGATGTTGCACTCAGAGCCCGGGAGAGGAACTATCTATAATGTTTGGGTATGGGCCACCTGCATCCTTTAGTCAGGTGGCTGATGTAGACTGCTTCACTGTATAAATAATGTATCCATCTTTGCTTGGGGGCGGACAGTCCATCATCTCCTGCTTGCAGTATCCATCCCACACAAGTGAGTGTGAGCAGAGGCTGAAAGGATGCTTTGCTGTAAGTCTACAGCTCTCTTAATAAAGCATTAGAACCTATCACTTTGGTTTTGTTTCTTTAGCATCCTCCTTTGGAACTCCTTCGTCTTATGAACTCCCATGAGCTCTGGTCTAGTTCTGGGACTATGTTTTGGTTTACAACAGTGGCTCTCTATAGCTTCTTGGCCAAGCCTGTTCTTCCCCTTTCAATATTTTTCTGGGGAAATTCAAGTGCATCCTGGTAAATTTAGGCTTCTACAATTAACATGGGAGAACTCTGAATATGTAAACTGGGGCTAAGTATCAATACGGGACCAATTCTACCTGACCTCATTTTATTTGCTAGTTCGTTTTTTTTCTTACAAAAGCACATTTTCCTAGGACTTTCAGGCTGGTTTCATGGTACCCAAGGCTCTTTAGTGGTTAAAGCAGTGGCAGCAGGTTAAATCATCTGACTTTACCGATAACCTTATAGCACATTAGCTCCTGTAATAATGAACAGAGAAATCAGCGGATTCATTACTAGACAAGCTGTAGGATTTATCTCTCTTTAAACTGAAACCAAAGTGCTTCATTTATAATGGAGATTACGGTAAGGAGAAAATGAAGCTGTCGAAGGGAAAGTGATGTCTCCGGAGTCTTTTCTTCTACTTGGGCCACAAGTTAATAACGTGACCAGCACTTAACAGCAAAAATGCAGGCCTGCATTATCTTTCAGCAGATGCCAGTCATGTCCAATCCAAACAGGTCAATTACCCAGCAGCTCTCTGAAGATTTGCCCTCAAATCTCGCCAGAGTTAGAGATGCCAAGAAAAATGTTGAGATGCACAAGAACAGGGCGCAAACCAATTTTGTGCAAATGGAGCTTTGACCCTTTGAGGGATGAACCCAGTTGGCTACATAATCAGTTCCATTTCATTCATAATTTATGGAAGAGGCATGCAGCGAATGTGAGTCTATGCACCAGTCATGCAAACACACAGCACTTACTGCAAACTTACTGCAAACTCATGCCTGTAGAAGAGTTCTTTCCTTCTCTCACTGACCCTGGGGGGGAAATCTTAACTGAGAAGGGCAATATTGCCAGCTAAACACATTCTGTTCTACCTATCAGTTCCCAAGACTGTCACGCACTAGAGGGACCAAGAAACAGAACTCAGAATGGGGCTGGGGAGAGGAAGAGCCTTTGCGTTTTAAAGTCCCCAAGCCACCCCAATAAAACACAACTCACAACTCACAACCTTTGTTTAAGGTTTTTGGCATAATTTTGGCCACAACTGTATTAAAATACAAAAAATGTGAGTGGTTGCTTAGGTTGTGACTATCTGACTCCGCCCGGGGACAGATGGACATTCGCCCGCCCGCTAAAGTCAGGAAGGGAAAACATTTTGGGGAGAAAGATGGAGCTGGGTACCATGCCCTCACCTCTCCCCAAATGCTCCCAGGGGCTCTTGCGTGGCCCTAGCCCCTTGACAGGGGTTCAGACAAAAGCATGGGAAGCCCCTGGATTCCTTTAATGGAATACCCTGGCAGCAGCAGCATTGGAGGGGGCAGACACAGCCAATCCATGCCCCTCCACCAACCAATTCATAAAACCAATGCCTAACCGCAACCTTACAAGTTGTGACGATTTGCTCCGCATTAGGCAAAAACCAAATGGCGCCAGCCAATCAGCCAAATGGACAAAATTCCTACCAGGCCCCTGCCCCAAAAGCAGACAACCCCATGACAGCCATAGCAAGATCAATGTGAAAAACCCTAAATATAGGGAGGGTGGGTGGGTGATCAGATGTGCGCAGCGAAAAGAGGAAGCTCAAGGCTGCGCACAGGGAATATAAGACTTCTTGGCTGTCAATCACAAAATGGCGACATCAAATTCTCCTCAACGACAAGAGGAGCCCAATCACAATGGTGGCCAACTCCCTTTACCCTCCCAGCAACAGTGGGATGTCTTGTTAGACCCCACTGCAACATGTGCTCTCCATGAAGGAGAAAACACTTTGTAGATAACACTTGATTGTTTCTCAGTTACTGACATCAGTCAAGGGAAGAAGACAATTTAGACCAACCTCCCCCAACCTGGCAGCCTCCACAAGTTTTTGAATACCACTCTCATCAATACCAACCAGTAGGATGATAAGGATTGTTGTACAAAGCATCTGGAGAGCACCAGCTTGGGAAAAGGGCAGTGCTATTTTTCTAGAAAAAGAGGTACCAGAACACACAAGTCCTCTTGGTAGATAGAACAAGCTGCACATTCCTTGGACAAAAATCAAAATTATCAACCAGGTAAAGAAGCAACAAAAGAACATACTTATACAGCCAGTGAGACCAGGGCCTAAAGGCCTTCTCAAACAATATGCTTTTGGCTGTCCTCTTGAAAAGTATAGGCAAATGAGCCCAGAGGGTTTTCCTTGCTGGAGACTTCCACAAAAAGATAGCACAACTAGGGGGAAAAACTCTGATTGTCTGCCTTCCAGTACTCAGAGAAGAACCTCATCTGATGGCCTGTGACAACCTTACACAATAGTGTTGATGTCACTATTACTACTACTGATGCTTTCAAATGTTCACAGTGCTTGACATATATTATCTAGTTGTAATTCTTGAAACAGCCCTGTATTATTGGGGGTGGGGGTGGCTGAGACTAGGAGAGTGTCGTCTGCCAAAGGCTATCTTGTTCATCATGCCAATTAGGGGCAAGGCTTGACCTGATTGGTTGCTCATCCTCTTAGCTGCTGCGCTACACCAGCTCTTGACAACCATGACCTTATCTCTTCCTGGGATCTGGAACCCACTGTTGGCAGGTGACATGCCTTGTTTTGCTGATTTGATGAAAACGTACATCACCTTTCACAGGCTCTTAGGAAAAACAATAGCAACAGCGACACTGGAACAGCTGACACCCCTTCCATTTTGCCTTATACACGGAACACATGTTTTTGTATATTGGAGATGGAGAGAGTTGTAACTGACATCCAAATCTAATGTCTATGAGTGGGCCTTTCCATTAAAATTAATACTCCAATTAGAGAAGATTTCTTTTTTTTTTAAGCCACAAGGAAAAAGTCACAGAATTGGAAGTTAGGCGATTGATGCAAAATCACACACACATGCACACACACTTCATATGGTTTACCTTTCTTCTTCTTGGTGGTGTGGAATTTAATGATACATATGCCAGAGCCCAAATACAATAGTTTTGACAGCTGTAGGGGAGGGGTGCTCAGTGCTGGAGCTGAACTCTTCACCCGGTCCCATGGGCTGGGGGTGGGGAGTGCTGCAACTAGACAGATGGCTCCAAAGGAAGGTCAGCAGAAATATGCTGACATTATTGTACTTTTTTTTTTTGGGGGGGTCCAATGTTCATTAATCTGAGCTGCTTCTTAGCCTGGGTTTCTTTTTTTAAAGTAGGAATTTTATCGCGTTTCACATCTTTGCAAAGTTTCAATGGGGCTGATTAGATTTCACACCAAGGGTTGTGGGAGCAACAGTTTCCGTTCCACTGGATAAACTGTGTGCTGCAACGCTGTTAACCTTTGACTCTGATCAGCCGTGAACTTGGCGAGCATGACGCCCTGCCATGTGCAGCACAACCAAGGAAAGGGTCATATGACACGCAGCACACCTGACCACCTGGCATTTAATATGAAGATGCCATTTACCATCTCCATTGCTTGGGAACCATGGTAAGAAGAGATGCATTCTGTACTAAACATGCTTCAGCAGCAGTGCATATGGCATGGAACTTGGATTTTTAAAAATGGCCCTGGTGAGTTTTAGACTTGCATTGGCCTTTCCCTTCTGCAGGGGTTGGGGGACATTTTTTGGGGGGGGGCAGACTTTTGTTAGGGAGGGGCAAAACCTCAGATTTGTATTAATGGTGGGGCAGCTGCCCATGCTGGGGGAACCTATGAAGACAGTCCATCTCCAAACACTATCAGATCAGGTTGGTTTTTAGAGGTGAGCTAACCCTGTTCCTGGGGCAGAATGTCCTTGGAAGCAAGGCAGTGCAATGACACAGCATTTGGAATTCAGTGTGCATGTGTGTATTGAGACGCTAAATGCCTGGGCTGCACATGACATAGTGGCTGCCGTAGTTCAGTGGTAGAGCACCAGCTTTGCAAGCAAAAGGTTCCAGGTTCAATCCCCGGGTAGGCCTGGGAGAGGCTGTTGCCTGGTTGGTAGTCAACTAAGAGAAGACACACCAAAATTAAGGGACTTAACTTAGCTATGTTCATTCATTTCAGTGGATCTACTTTTAGCAAGGGACGCGGGTGGTGCTGTGGGCTAAACCACAGAGACTAGGGCTTGCCAATCAGAATGTCGGCGGTTTGAATCACCGCCATGGGGTGAGCTCCTGTTGCTCGGTCCCTGCTCCTGCCAACCTAGCAGTTTGAAAGCACGTCAGAGTGCAAGTAGATAAATAGGTACCACTCTGGCAGGAAGGTAAATGGCGTTTCCGTGTGCTGCTCTGGTTTCGCCAGAAGCGGCTTAGTCATGCTGGCCACATGACCCGGAAGCTGTACACTGGCTCCCTAGGCCAATAAAGCGAGATGAGCATCGCAACCCCAGAGTCGGCCACGACTGGACCTAATGGTCAGGGGTCCCTTTACCTTACTTTTAGCAAAACTTAGCTGAATGCCACCTCTTGAAACCCTGGGGAGCTACTGTCAGTCAGTGCAGACAATACTGAGTTAGATGGACCAATGGTCTGACTCAACATAAGGCAGCGTCCTATGTTTCTATTTTGGGATTTGTCCCTTAAAAACATGCAGAGGCAATGGGCCCCAACTGAGGATTATTGGGCTCCCGAAAACACCAAGCATGTGGCCCCCATAAGGTTGCCCATAAGTAATTGTGGCCCTTGGGTATCCTCTCTTATGGATACCACGCTAGCATGTAAAACAATTGTGTCCCATTCATCTGTAGTACTGCTTCCACCAACATGCAGCTATCCGGGTAACTCTATATCCTGTTTTTTTGCATTGTCTCTCTCAATAGGACATGATTCTCTTCGCAGAGAAATCTAGCAAACACCTATCTGTACTTTTTAAAGTGCCTTTGAAAAGACTCTTGATTAGGAGGGACTTTTGTGATTAGCTTCAAACTTTGGAGAACTGGTAAAAACCTTCCTTTTTAGAAAGGTATTTGTCTTGTAATACAGGAAGTTGAATGGAATCCGTTCTGGAAGTCCATTCAACTTCCAAAACGTTTGGCAACCAAGGCGTGGCTCCCTGCAACCAATCAGAAGCCATGGAAGCTGTGCCGAATGTTCGGGTTCCAAAGAATGTTCATAAACTGGAACACTCACTTCCGGGTTTGCAGCGTTCAGGAGCCAAAACGTTCGACTTGCAAGTCGTTCGTCAACCAAGGTATGACTGCATGCTGTTTTCAATTGTCTCTAGTTTTTAAAATACCTATTTTTTTAAAAAAAGAACAGTATGTCTGTAATTGTTTGTTATTGGCTGCTACTGTTTTAATGTTACAACGTAAAAAATGTAAATCATGTTTTAAATTGTAATTTTCTTATTTGTTATGGGCCACCTTAATTTCTCCAGAAGAAAGACATAAAATAAAATAATAAATAAAGTCTGGATGCACTGGCGTGGTTGTGTAAGAAGCATTTTTAGTGGTTCTCTTTTATGTTATTTTGTTATGATACTATTTCTTTATTTTATTTTTTATCAATTATAATGCTGTTTTCATTGCTTACAAATTTTGTAATCTGCCTTGTAAGGAGTTATCTTAAAAGGTGCAGTATAATACTAATACGACTAATAAATAATAGTGCAACAATGGAATGAAATGATGCTGTTTCTCTCTGGCTGTTGCTGACTGGCGATTAGCCACTAGGGGGGATTTCTTTTTTTCATTGTCTGCCAAAGCAGCAGTAGAAACTTTGGTTACAGATGGGTTTTGGTTCACAGTAAGGGCAAAGAATTGGCAAGGGCAGGGAAAAATGGGCTAACTGGGATGAAGGCTTGTGTCTTCCTTCCTAGCTATCCCTAAAGATCATTCTTGCTGCATTGCATCCCAAGCTATATTTCCCCCCTCCAGAAACACTGCTGCCAAAATCATGTTTCTTTTCAAGACCTACTCATAAATATAACTTACTTTTCTAGCCTTCCCACCTTAGTCTGTCCAAACACCTTTTCTGAGCCATAACCTTCTGCCGCCCTGATTTTCCTTCTTCTGGATTCTCCAATACATCTAGTCCAGTGGTTCTCAAACTGCCTGTTATAGCAATTTCTGCGATGGAAGATTTCTAATTTTTATAGCTTCTTTTATTTGTCATATATATTTTTATTATTATTATCGCTCTCTTTATTTCTTACGTACTGCGTTTTATTGTATCACAACTTGAATTTTCCATTTGAATATGGAATTCAAATTGTAAGACCATAATATACAATATATAAGAAACAGAAGAAGCAATAAGAATACAACAACAAATCGGTATGGATATTAAACACAATGGATGTGCCTGTTGAGTCTGTCTGGGAGGACTGCTAGGTCCTAAGGACAACAGAGCAGCCACTGTGCCTGCAATTCACAGCTCCTGCTTCTGCCATTATTCACAGACAAACTGCAGACCACCTGAATGATGATGATAATAATAATAATAATAATAATAATAATAATAATAATAATTTATTTATACCCTGCCCATCTGGCTGGGCCTCCCCAGCCACTCTGGGCGGCTTCCATAGAAACCAAAAATACAGTAAAATATCACACGTTAAAAACTTCCCTGAACAGGGCTGCCTTAAGATGTCTTCTGAATGTCAGGTAGTTGTTTATCGCTTTGACATCTGCTGGAAGGGCGTTCCACAGGGCTGGCGCCACTACCGAGAAGGCCCTCTGCCTGGTTCCCTGTAGCTTTGCTTCTTGCAATGAGGGAACCGCCAGAAGGCCCTCGGCGCTGGACCTCAGCGTCCGGGCAGAACAATGGGGGTGGAGACGCTCCTTCAGGTATACTGGACTGAGGCCATTTAGGGCTTTAAAGGTCAGCACCAACACTTTGAATTGAATGAGTTATCGGAATGAGTTATCCGCCACCGGCGCTCTAGCCGTCTCAACGATTGTTTCATTGCCCTCAGATCCGTGGAAAACCACGGGGCTGTCCGGGCTCCATGCAATTGGAGAGGGCGCTTTGGAGCCAAACAGTCAATAGCCCTGGTTAACTCCACATTCCAGCGGGCCACCAGGGAATCAGCTGAAAGGCCATCAACATGGGATAAAGCATCCCCTACCACTCTCTGGAAACCATTTGGATCCATTAAGTGGCGGGGGCGGACCATCCGAATTGGTCCCACCTCCCTGCAGAGGGGATGGGTCGCAGATACTCAGAGATTACTGGTGCTCTGTAGACCACAGTTTGGGAACTACTGATCTAGCCTGTTACTCTTTCACTTTCCTTCCCTGTTTCTGGGGAGGTCCTCCTTGCCCATCCCAATCCCATCCCCATTTGGTCCCCAGTTTCATTTCTAAAAAGAGATATGAGAAATCATGCATATCAAGCTGGGATGCTCTCCCTCCCTCTAGTCCCAGATAAATAGATTTTGATTGTGCTTGTTTACTGGTGATTATTCCGCATGTATTGAATGTTCAGCACATGTCAAAGTACACTTTGTACTGTATTCGTGTTTGCAGGGTGGAGTCCGGGAGCAATAGGAAGAGTAAGTTATTTTCTTCCATCAAAATTCTTCCAGGCAGGAATGTATGGTGCAGGATCCCTTAATGGTTTTGCATCACACAGCAACAGACAGACTTTCTGTGTGGTGAGTTCCCGCCTCCCCCTGGTGGAAATAATGACACATGACACAGTTATTTTAGGTTAATGGGCAAAAATTGGCCACAACTTTATTGGTTACAGGTGATGAGCGGTATTGGCTTAGGCATTGGTCCTAACCAACTATCCGGCTTCAGCCTGATTGCTCGAAGTCCGGGAAGGGTTAACCACCAGTAGGGGGAGTCCTGCTGATGCACATCAACTAGGAACTCCCCCGGGGTCACCGCTCGGGGGCATGCCTTAGGCCCTCACCTCCATAAGCTTCGGACAGGGCCACGTCCCCCGGAATCCTTTATCGGTATCCTTCAGTATGCGGGGGAGGTGATGGCGCTTCCTCCCCCCTTCATCTACATAACAATACCCATACCAATCCCTAACCGCCAATCCGAGGAAGTTGTGACGATTTGCTACAAGGTAGGCGAAAAACCAAGTGGCTGGTGCCAATTTGCCAAGTGGAAAAAATTCCTACCAGGCCCCTTAACAGCGACCAACCGAGGTCCATAGCAAGGACAAAGGAAAACCTTAAAGGGCGGGAGGGTGGGAAACCGGAGCAGCTGCAGCGGCAAAAGAGGGAGATCCCTGGCCGTGCTGGGGCTAAATAGCCCAGGCCACTCCCCCCAAGCCAGCCGATTGGCTGGCCAGGGGATGACATGGCCGGGGATTCCCTCAGTCACGCGGAGGCTGAGGTCCAGTCCCTGTGCACGTGGAGGGGGCGTGAAGCCCACAACTCCACCTCCTCACTAGTTCGGAAGTGGCTTTACCTAACCATGGCCCAGATCCTTTCATTTCAGTTTTAGTTCTTAATCTGCATTAGGGATGAACCAAAGGGATGAAACAGAATGAAGGAGATGGGTCATTTCAATAAACCAGTGAACAAAATACTCTGTAAATTTGTTTCGGCCCCTTTAGGCAATAGTTCATGGGCCTGCAAAACAGAGCAATTTTATTTTTTTTACCAGTGAGATTAGAAAGCATTGATCTCACTCTTACTTGGCTTTATGACACAATTATATAACAAAATCTGATTGGCTACATATCACTACAATGCCATCTCACTGATTATATGATCCCTGATTGGCTGAATCACATTAAGCAACAAGAAGAACCAGTTCTTTATTAAAAGTAAGCCAAGGATTGATTGTATGTAAGGATTTTCTGCCACAGTCCTACTGTCTGGCTTTGGGTGACTCATTCCCACAATTCATGTTCACATAGGAAAAGTGAAATAGATATTTTACAGGCACTCACTCAAGGGTGGGGAACCAACCACCACTGTACATGATAAAAACAAGCTATCACTGGGATTCAAATTATAAGGCGGTACATGCCTGAAGGCAGAGGGTTGGGAGCAGACTTTTCCAGATAAG